TTTGTTTCTGATCAACAAGTCAAATTTCAGCCAATTCCGACACAGTCGCGAAAAATGACGAAATCACACCCGGCGCGATTTTTTTTTTCCCGATAAACCTGTCAAATTTAATCCCATTCCAACACAGTCGATAAAAATGACGAAATTGCCCACGGCGGGAATTTTATTTCTGCAATTATTTCAGCACTAAGTTTGCTAAACGTATGGGCAACATTATAGCAGCTAAAATGTAATGAAAATTGATGAAAAGTCAGAAATTTAGCGAATGTAGTGTGTCCACAAAGTGGTTTCTTATTTTCCACATAATTTTTGCTTCACTTAAATGAAGTGTGGGTCTTAATGTTCTCTAACCATTTGGAAAATGTTAATATAACCTATAAATGCAATATAATCCAATCCATTAATGATAATAATCATGCGTCCATGATTTTCATCAACTATAGAAATCAAACCTAAATCTAACCATATGAACTGACATATTCCCGACCTCCCTCCAAGCAAGGGAGAAAGGGGGAACATCCTACAGCTTAGCATAAGTAAAAATCTCAACTCCACATTCTTTTTCATGTAACATATGCAAACAGATCATTTTCAACCTTCTTGGGACATGTAAAACAAGTAAAATATTAACTGTTGGTGTTTCTCGAACTTAGCTTCTCAAATTTGAATCACATGGCAAAAAAAATTATCATTTTCCCCACCGTTGTTAAACTATACAAAATGTTCAGCAACAATAAAAAGAAAAAAACCAAGGAATTATACCCCGTTTTTTGCTTCTACTGGATGCTCGTCATCAATATGGCAACAGAGTCCCACAATATCAAAATATTCCGAACAGAAAGGGCATGGATACTCCTCCCTTACATCATCATCCATGTCAACTTCCTCGAATCCCATCAACATTTCTGCATTCAGACCATCCCATTTCATCCCTGCCAAAGTATCCCCGCACAAAGAACCAATTAAAACACGAATTTCAAATGAAAAACATATTATCTGTAAAGTGCACAAACCCAGATAAAAAACCAATCTTTTATGGAAATGTACAATAATACTGTCGACTTGAGAAACCCTACGTAAAAATTTGATCTCCCAAAGAACTCATAAAGATTCAATATTAGTGACAACCAATAACTCTGTAATAGAAATTCTTGTTAATAGAACAAAACCCTCAAAAATTCGAATCTTCTATTTGACAATACAAAACATAGCCAACAGATCCATAAAAACACAATCCTTAAGGCAAATACACATTTCTAGGTCAAGTTATGGAAACCCAGATGAAAACTACACATTTGGAAACGGAAAATTGGGGAAATGTTTACCAGATCGAGATTGAAGAACAGATTGATAACGCCTGGAGGCAGACGAAAGACGAGCAGCCCAAGAATCAGCTTCCATGGCTTTATTATATTTAAATTGAAACTGCTTCTGAATTCGGAGCTCTCTTTTGAAAAAAAGGAGCTGATTAATTTAAGTGAATTAAGGGTGTTCTTGATTTATAAACTTCTTGTAGTAGATTCCTTGATTTGTGAATTTGTGAGGGAATGAGAGACGCAGAGAGGGAGGACCACTGCAGGGTGAAAATAAATTCCACCAAAAGGAAGAAGAGAGAAGCTGTTCCACACCTTTTTATATCATTGTTATTTTTTTCATTTGACAGCTGTTTTTATTTTTATTTTATTTTATTTCATAATTTTCATGGCTTTAACATAGAATAGAAAATTTCTGTATTTTAGTTAAGTGCATTTGAATGTTTGGTCTCCAACTTTTTTTTTTTTTTTTACAAGGTGTCCGGGCTTGCGTCCGACTAGATCCTTGTTCCTGAACCTCCGGCCCCTCAGCAGCTCAGGGAGGTAAATCGCAGGATGTGCCCTTGTTAGCTCCCAGGTTCCCACAACTCATTTGGACTCCTTCCGCAAAGAGAGCTCTCCTCACTGGGCGTTTATTCACACCAATGGCTTCCTCTCCATATGACTCCCAGTGTTAACTCCAGGAATCGAACTCCCCACCCTTGCTTCCAGCGTCCCAGCGAAGTGATTGTTCCACCAACTCGGATGTGCCCTGGGGGGCTGCATTTGGTCTCCAACTTTTAGATTGGTTGTAAGGTGGTCGATCGGTGAAAGGGAGTCCGTGGGTTTGCATGGTTAATCTAAGAACACAATTTCCACCAAATATCCGACACATCTGCTTGTTCATGTCATGTCGAGTATATTATCTTATGCGTAAAATGAAAACACGTTACACGTGTATAAATAATGTTAATAAGAAATAGATAAAAGAAAAATTAGAATGAAAAAAAATAAATTGAAATTCATATTATCCTCCACCTGGTAACCACTACATATCGAACATCAACCTTCGATATCAAATCGAACACCACCATTGATGTAGACTATCATCACTTTCACCTTTGTCTTTGAAACCTTAATCAATTTCGAAGAAAACGAAAGACAGCAAAAAGAGAACAGAATTGTCGGAAACAGAAATATCGCTACACAATAAGGATGAATGTAGGAAGTAGAGAAGACTGTGATAAAAAAAAAAAAAAAGGATGTATTTACAGGTTCAGACGAAATGTTTGAATCGTCGATTGAATCAACAAAAGATCTAAGCCATTCAAAAGCTTCTCACAATCATGGCTGCCAAAGGCTAGTAGACGCCTGACCATGTTTTAAAATTAAATGAATGAAACCAAGCGAGGACAATACGCACTTTAAATGCTTATAAGGCACTACTTTGGGAAAACGCACATATACCCCAAAAAATGGCCCACGTCATACACCACTAAAAACAAAAACTTATGCAAACCAAATGTTTGTTGTGCTGTTACAAAAATTACAAGTCCTAAAGTTAATATGAATATTAAAATCGGATTTAGGGGACTACTTCTTATACCTTGAAAAAAAATCCACAAAATTAGTTAGCTATCAGCAAAGCACGAAATGATATGCCAGGACATAGGAGGCTCGCATAAAGATCTCAACCCATACATTATGTTGATGTCAAAAAAATGTGATAAAAATGTTGTTTATTGCCAATAACCTTAAGACAAAGTACATAATTTGCATATAAATGAGAGTAATATAGAGAAATGAAGCATTGCTTTTTAAAAGGATCCGAGCTCTACCTTTGGAGGGGGACCTTTGATTCCTGTTTATAGAATGAAGATCACACTATTTGATTTACTCAAGTCTTTTCAGCTATAATGACATCCTTTAGATGCATGCTACTTATCCAAGTTGCCAAGTGTCCTTTCATGAGTGGTGCATGGATATGTGTTACAGTGTGGCAGGCATTTTGGTATCATCATTTCTCTAAAGCTGATCTCACAGGTAATGCATCCGACTTTAATGTTTAGAGAGTGGGGATGATCAGGGAAATATTTAGCCCTGTTTGATCCCCATTAAATTAAATTACATTACATTTTATTTTTTTCTTTCCTTTTTTCAATCACACAATCTTTCATAAAATAATATTACACGTAAATCGAAAATTTTTCCTTCTTTTTCAATCATTCATTTTTCTAAAAAATATTATTCCCCTCATTTTCAGGTGATGAGCATCAAACAGGGCTTAATTTAATGATGTGCCAACGTTGAAAGTTTTTAAAAAATACTTCAAGATTTGAATAATTATGAAAAACAACTGTCATGGCCTAAGGGGACATGTGCCAATAGATCATAGAATGGTATTCCACTATCTTTTGTGGCTTCCTGGGCAAGTTTTCTTCAAAGCAATGTAGTTTCGATTCATTCAATCTGGATCCTTCATTTTCTTCCATATTCATATCTAGTGAAGAAGACGTTGGTTCTCATAATAAGAGTAGGACATTCCTTCAAGTTAAAAATGGGAGGTTTCATCTTTTAGTTCGATAGTGATAGAGGATGTGTTGACGACATGAAGAGCCAAGTACATTATTCCTAGATCACTAGAGATGGTATTTCCATCTTTTCTGACTGAGCAGCTGATCTCCCAAATGGGTATGTGGTATTCAATTCGGCTATCCTAAGTGTTGGGTTGTAGTTGCCAATCCTTAAACCTATTCTTAGATTCTTGTTTTCTTAGAAAATTATCCCCACTCAGCTTTGCCATAATGGATAGAGAACACTTATTGCCAACCTGATCCTGTGGCACACGTTAGGCTATCCCGAGCTCACTGTAGATCAATTTAACTCCCTATATTCTTTTAAGGGTGATGGGAAGGACTTTTCGGTGGTACTGTGCCAGCATTGGGCCCAAGATTGGGGAGTCGTTAGTTCTGAATATCCTATACTCGATGAAGAAGTGAAAGGAGGAATTCTTCTTCATTTTGGAAAGTGGCAGTTTCATTCCACCTAAATGGATATGGAGGACATTGTCCCAACCCATTATCACAAGATATTTAAGTATTTTTATGGCTTTTATGGAGTATTTATTTATTTCATGCGAGTTGCCTCATGATATAACTATCTTTTCTACCCCATTCTTGTAGTTACAAAAAGACTAAGGTCACCTTAGCTATCAAGAGCCGAGCTGACGCTATTCAGGCTCTACCAAAGAGGTAAAGGTCCTGCAACAATGTAATTTCTAATTCCAACTTGTTTTCAGGTGGGCTTGTTTTGTTGTGCTCTCCTTCCACACAAACCCTCAACTCCAAGTAAGTTATCCCTTATTTTCTAAGTCATTCAATTCGGTTTATATCCTTCTATTGTATGGATGATCTAACAAACTTGTGTATCTTTAGATGGAAATGAAGAAATATTGGGGTATAAAGCTACGACGTTGTTGAGGTTGCATTTAAAAAAAAAAAAAGAAAAAGAAAAAGCACTTAAATAAGAAAAGCCCATGCTATAGAAGAAGGTAAGCCTAAGCTGACTAAGAGAGGCCGAACTAAATCGTGCTAGATTAGAGTCTTCTCAGAGGTCTCCTGTACAGCTGCCATCACTAGCTTGATTGCCTTTAAGGGCAACTTCCACTCCTCATCCTGTCAATGTTAATGCTGCAGTTCCCAGCTCCTACCGATCTTAGTTATCTTGTCCGAACCTCCAAAGACTATATGCGGATGTAATGGTTGGGAGCCGTCCAAAGATCTTCCTAGACTTTCTTAAGGCTCCCTCTCCTTTCAGGGACATGATTGCTACCTTGCTACCACTGATAGGGGACTCTACTAACTTGCTTACATGAAGCAAATGTAACAACAAAGAGCAGAAGTTCCTTAAGAACATGAGGTAAACAAAGCATACATTATTGTCGAGCTGTATTGTCACTAATATGTCCTTTATATGATGCCCATGATGAATAAGGTAAATCACTTAGAATTTTCTTGATAATGGTTCTATGGTTAATTAATACATTTTACTAAGACCATTTTTGGCCTTATTTCAGGTCAAAACTAAAATGGAGAAGTTGGTTGAGCTCAGTAGCCAGGTTCTAGACCATGGAAATTGAGAAAGCCCAAAGGTCTGAGGAGAGAAAAGACTTTAAAGATCGGCCAAACAAAATGGGCATCGAGCTTAAGGCTAGGTCAGTAGGTGAGCTCAAACTCTAGAACAAACTGAAAGCTTTAAAGATTTGGAGAGAAAATGCCAATACAAAAGCCTTCTCTAAGAAGAAGCGGGCCGAAGAGAAAAAAAAATCCTGGCTAAAGCAGCTATAAAAAAATGAGGAAAAAGTTGAATCTAAAGCTGCTAAATACTGGAAAATCTCCAATGGTTTATAGTTTGAAAGGGGTTCAAAAGTCAACATGACCCATGAATGCGTAAAGAATTACGTGCATGTAGCAAGAAGAATTCCACATCCACTTGATTTAAACTTCCAAAAATCCTCAACAAAATTCTAAAGCACATTTAAATTCTAATTATATACAATTTAAAAAAAAAAAAAATTATTATCACAGCACGGAGATAGTAGCTAGACCTTAGTAGAATTTTTCTTCAAGAGTGTCATGTTTACTATTCCTACTCCTCCTTGTTCGAGTTATACCGATCTTGATTTTTACCATTTCTATTGATGGGTTGTGATTTTCAACATATCTTCCATCACATCTCGTTTGTATGCCTTAGTTTGTTTAGTGAGTACATAAAACATTATCTTCATTTTGTGGTTGCTTAAATAGCTCTCCATCAATTGAAGTGCATTTTCGAATTATTAATTTCAAAAGCGAAGGTGATTTGCTGATAAAAGAAGTAAAATCTTATCTAATTATACTCTATATAGATATATGGACACGACCATAACAATTGGACACTTCTATTCCTTTTTAAAACACTATATATTTGATTGTTTTCGTCTAATACAATATTGTCAAAAATAAAATGGAAAAAAAGAATCAATCTGGCTTATATATAAAAGATTAAAAACTTATATCTTGTTAAATAAATTAAGAATCAAACCAGTTCACTTAAAAACATTTTTTTTTAATTAATTTTTATCAGATCCTATTTTGATCCTTTAACCTTTTCCTTACTTTATTCGAGTTGATACTCAAACCGATTTACATAGTGTCTATTTGGATTTCATTCCATTTTTTAAAAAAAATTACTTTCGAAGAAAACTAATGAGTGACGAAAAAGTAAATAAATTTTTTTAATTTTTGTATTATTTTTTTCACTTTAAAAACGTACTTTTTAATAGAATGAAAC